TTTAGTGTTTTGGAAAAGCCACATCTGCCTACTCTGCTAACACAGTAGCTTTGCAATTGCATTTAATTTATGGAGGAAGCACAGCAGCATTTTAACTTTTTATGTATTCCACAACACACAGATAGAACAGGCACTTCTGGTTAATATTAATAGCTCATTAAATAAAGTATTTAATTTTCACTCAAAACCAGAACATCTTAAAAGAATATTGTAATAATCCATTTTTTCCTGCAAGTCAATCCTCTAATAATGTTTATTATAATGTTAGTTACTAGTCACTGCAAACTTGTTTCTCAAATTAATGTATGAAAAGATTCCATTTAAAGTTCAATAAATAATTTACTATGCTCATCCTACTGACTCAAATTGATAAATTATTTGCATGATACATTTCCTCATCAATAAAGAGAACTTTGTACTTGGAATTTATCTAACTTTTCTTTCCATTCTCCCCAAAAGGCCAATTTAATTTAAAGCCATGCCGAGGGAAGCAATCTCTCTTCAGACTTCCAGACATGTGAAACAGAATATACTTTTTAAGCATTTTTCTCCCATTTTATGTTTTAAAATATAATCTAGCATATAACTATTCAATAGTAAGGAAAAGTGGTGTGATTAAAAGAAGTACTTTGGAAAAGATCAGACAGGAGACTAAAAAAGGCAATTTGGACTAAGGTACAGGAGCCACATCTACTTTTCAACCATCCATTTTTCTTGCAATGGCGATGCCCCTTCAAATGCTACTATTCACAGAACAGCTTACCTCTTCCAGCCCAGTGCTCCACACTCCATATTAAGAGAACATTTTGATGGAAACATAGTATGACAAGGAGCCTTTTTCATCAGATGCTTTATTTACTTGAAATTATTTAATTGCTTTGACCTAATCCAGACCCAACCTACAAGACTAAAACTTGGAGTGCACTGAAAAGAGAAAGAAAATATCAAGGCTTTTTAGTTGCCTCTTTTTAAGACTTACATTTTTTCTTAACTGTGTTCCTGCTCTGTTCAGTTTTCAGAACCTTTAAGAACAAGACCACTACTAATTTCAGTGGTAAAAGTGTATCAGAGACAGATATTTTTAAACCATCAGAAATAGTTTGAGCCTTGGATTAACCAGGAATTTCTACAATACCTTCCTCTCTACAAACTTTCATAGAATTTATTAATATAGTGTTTAAATACCTAAACAAGAAACTAAATGAACAAGCATATCCCTTTCACAGGGTGACAGTGATTAAAACAGTAAAAATAAACAGTAAAAGAAACTTAAGAAGGGGACATATAAAAATAGAAGTGTTAGAATGAAAATATATGCAATACTGATATAATACTAACACATTCATGTAGCTAACAAAAATGTAGGAATACAGATATTAATGCACCTTTTTTAAAAAATACTACTTTAATACCTCTTTGCAGAACATGAACATCTGCACTGGTTTAACAAGCAAACAACTGCAAAACAAAAAATTTCTGCTGTAGTGCAGCATTAAAAAAAAAATAACAAAAAACAACAGTGACATGCCTTATATAATCAAAGATCATTTCTTGGGACATAGCACTCATTTATAATTCCAGGGGCATTTGTTCTTGAAAGGGTGTTTCCTGTAAAAAGTCACATGCTGGATCAGCATAATCTGCTCATAACCCCTGTAGGAAATTCAAATGGAGGAAAAAATTTCAAGACTTTTATTCTTTGCTAATTAACTGGCAAAACATAACTATCTGTCTGACAGAAAACAGTTTATCTGAGAAAAGTAAGATTTTACAGAAACAGATGCATTGTGAGGAAGAAGAATAATTTGCAAATAAATTCAGATTCAGGCTGTACATAACTTACAGATATTTTTTTTTTTCCTCCACAGCTTCCAAATAGCCAGAAGTGAGATTACTTTGCTATATACTTTTTAGATCTCATCAAATGTGACAGTCCAAACATTTAGCTTCAGGTGCTATAAATGAAATTAAAAAAGCCAATAAAACCATATTTTACTAGGACTTTTCAGCCAAACCAACCTACTCAGATCCAGACTCAAATCTGGCTGCATATTTGATAATTAGACAAGGTTAGCATAAGTAATGCAAATATACCTCAGGAAAAAAAATAATCTAAAAAACAAACACCCGCAAAAAACCACCAAAATCAAATGTCTAAAGCCAAACATACAAAAAGAAAATACTTTTGCTTCAAGACTACAGTAAAGTTACTTTACAAAACAAAGAGGTTTTCCCCTAAGAATTAGAGGACTATTAGAGAGACAGCTTCCTCGTCATACCATGGCATAATATATAGTAGCCTGACTACAGGAAAAGAAAAAGCTTATAATACCCCAAATCATATATAAGAACATGATAGTAAAGTGTCAACTGTACTCTAGTTACAAGGAGAGATCAATTACACTTCTTCAAGTTCTACAAATTTTACAAGTCACTACAGCTATCTCTACATTGAAAGAATGGTCTGCTTAATGCCTGAACAAATGCACCATCTCTGCTAATTGATACCTTTGCATTTTACACACTCTGACTTCAGTAGATGAGAAGTATCTTACACCAGGGCAGCCTTAGGAACTCAACGTCCTGTGGAGCCATGGCTGGAACCACACTTACATTGAGGAGCTTTCAGATGATGGACATTCAAGACAGTCAATTTTTGCAGACTCCCACATTTGAGGTCTACTATTAAGCTCTACCACCAAGTCTGTGCAAATAAGCATCCTGGCAATTTTTAAAGAGCTTGTCATTCAAAACAAACCAAGCAGGTAGCAAAATAGCACTCGAATCTTTTTGCTAGAAGATGCTAAATTAATGATCGTAAGAGAGTTGGTGCATGAGACAAAATTAATGTATATTTGGTTCTTTGCTAAGATAATAGCACAGAAGTATAAAAAAATCTGAAAAATAAAATAAAAAATCCATGCTTTGTTTACACATCCAGTTCAGACAGGAGCATAATTTACTCAAAATCATAAATTCTAATATTGCTTTCCTCCATAATGGAAAACACATCTATAATAAGTAGGATATGTGTCATATGCCCTCTGTAATCATTAGTAACAATATTCAATTTTATATGAAGAATTTAAATTAAATTAATTGCAAGAGTAATTGTATATGTAAAAAGTTTCAGTACTATGGAAAGATGTCTATGAAGTCCATGCCATAAATATATTTTTTAATGCCTAAAACTAAACACAGGCTCCAAGAATTAGTCCTTGATTCTAGAACCACCACCATAAAATACATCCCTGATTATTCAAACTATATTCAAAAGAAATAATTACAATTTTATGATCACAAGAGCTAGGAATGAAGCCATCAGCTTGATCTTAGCTCAGACCATACTTCAAATAATATAAGCAAGCACTGAGAACATTTACACTTTGTGCTTTTACCAATTTGGTTTTACCTGAACAACCATTAGAAATAGTCTTATCAGTTTCATTCCATTAACTATCTACTGATGACCAAGATACTAACAACTGGACTTAATACTCAAAGATGACTAATGCAAAGCATTTTCACAGACATTAGAATGACAATTGTTCTTTAGATCCAGTATCTACATTCTCAATACATAAATTTCCTTTTCACTTCTCTCTGCATATGAAATGAACATTAAAAATAGACATCAACTTTAACATAGGTCTAGCTGAAATTTTAGGACTTTCAATTTTGTGAAAGATGCATGATGTCTATTTTTCCTTAAGGTAAATAGCAAATCCCCACCAACCTGGCAAACCATTTATGATTAATTCTGCTGTAAATACTGATTTGTTAGTAAAGGCCATTTAAAGGTCTTTTAAAGGCCATTAGAAGTGCTATTCTTTCATTACAGTAGGCTTGAAGAAAAAAAAAATCACCTCAGTTGGTAAGTATTACTGTTCTACTACGTACTGAGTCCTTGCCCAATGATTGTTTATCTCCACATCACAAAGCACTATTCAGAATGAAAGCATTTCACAATGGGCAAAAAAAGACTGGCCCTGGCAGCTGTTCCACAGAGCAATATTAAAGGGCCAAAAAACCCCTGCTTCTCACTAGTACTGCTGTTCAGTTCCACTGAAGACGACCACTCAATGGCAGAAAGAAAAAAATTTTTTTTTTTTTTTTAACCTTCCACTGCAGAAATATTTTTTCAGAAGCCACCACTAAAGTCTGCACTCTCCACTGTCATAGATATTAGGCTTTCTGTCTCCTTAAACACAGATCTCAAGCATGGAGATCTGTCCCTTGGTAAAAAACAAAATCTTCCTAATAGCAAATCCATTAAAGTTTCCTAAGTCTAGGAGCCACTCTGACTTAGATATGTAATGGGTGAAAATACTCAAGGTAATAGGCCTCTCTGTGTCATCTGTTCTTGCTGGTGGGCCACAACTTAAGCTGCTCAGCCACCTTTATTTCTTCCTTCCTGTAGCCATCCCAGACCACCCTGATATCAATTATTTCTTTCTTATCTTTTATGGTTCCTTCAATGATGGCAGGTTTGGAGTTAGTACATTACTGTTCAGAGACAAACTCTTGAATTCTCTGTAGCTTTCTTCCTCTCTTCACTCCCAGCCACCTTTTCCCATCACCTACAGCAGTGCAGAGATCTCTCCGGAAAATGAGACAATTTTTGACAAAACATCATCTCAAGAACAGAGAATCTACAGGACATGATTAAGTCTAGACTGTGAAGCTATTAAAATAACAAAGTAATTACCTAAATGTAGTATTACTGCATATATAATTATACTTACAAATTTTTATTTCATTGAAACAGAAGCAAATGCATTTGAATTTATCTCTCAACATAATTCATTTTACTATAATGGGGCAATGGTGGGTTTTTTTTAAACATAAAGGACCTTCTAATAGCAATTCACAGCTTCTCTTTAATAATTTAAGCCCAGATTAACAATCCTTTACATAATACTGGCCAAACGTGTAGAAACAACCAGTGAACTGACCGCACTGGCACAGATTTGAGTGTGAAACATTTTAAGAAGCATTACCTCAGATTCATCTGTTGATTCCTCATTAGACCTGGTTTCCTGAAAATGACACAAAAAACAAAGGGGTAAATATCTAAGTATATACATAATTGAGCAGTAATTCCTGTTAAGAAGTACCTTTAAACCCTTATTAAGAAATGAAAGACAGAGCAGAAGCAACTGAAAATTCAGAGTTTCCATCCTTGTCATTCATACTCGATTTGTGCTTGCACTTGCATTCAAGTGCTACTGTGATACTCAGGAGCAGCAGGGACACTGTTGCCAGTTACCCTAAAAGAGAGAGTGATTGGGTCATCTGAGAATCTATCCCTGTGATATCTTCCTCTCTTCCAGAAGCAGGAGCAAATACTGCAAAGCAACTGCCCATATCTTGACTTCCAAGGCAGAACAGCATTCTCAAGTTATCCACAAGCCAGCTTTGCTATTCAATTATTCAGTTGTCAATAGGCTTATTTTAAACTTGAATAACTTCAAACCATTTTCCATAGAAATCCAGCATTCAGTGACTTTCTCCTTCCCATTAGATGTTAATGCAAGACGTGGCTTTCTCCTGACTTTGAAACAACTGTACCTTTAAAGTATCTCTCTCTGTCAAGATGATTCTTTCTACCCTACAAAAAAAATTTTATAAGTCAACTCCTTCTCATCCCTCGTCTGTCCACTGAGAAAATCTGCTGATGCAATGCCTCCTCAAAGAGTCAGCAAAACGAAGATTTACTTAACGCATTTATCTTTATCAACAGCAATAAAGGATTACAACTAATACACCAGCAGTGAATGAAAGCATTTTAACAATAAAATATGATACAAAGAAGAAGCAAGATAGAAGGCAGCATTTCAAATCTAACGAAGGGAGTCTTTGAAGAACAAGATTAATAAGTACAGAATTCCACCAGACAAGACAAAAAAAATAAAAATAAAAATTACAATTTCTTACCAACAGCTTAGAGAAAAATGGAAAAGTAAGAAAATTTAAGGCACTGACAACCAGTGTAATTTTTTGGTTTCTCATATTTATTTATTTTCTATGTTTATATAATGCACTGATTGTGATTAGTACACCAAAAAGCAAAGGCTTCCTTCTCATTAGTGGAGGATGCTCACATTAATGCTCATAATGACCATCACAGGAGATGGGAGACAAGCAAAGCAGCACTTCTACCTGCGACTGGAATCTTCCTGCAAGGTGTTACCACAGTTACTGACATCTGTTTCCTCCATTTTATTCACAGCAGATAGTTCCACCTCTAAAATACATATCCCATAAAAGGGTTATCAGTGTAGTCCATGCTTGTGACATGAATTGGGAAATTGCAAGTAAGAAGTATATAGGAATCAAGGGAAGATGGATTAAAATCCTGGCATCCATTGAAGTTTAGGTTTGACTTTGCAAGCACAATTGTATGTCTGTCAGTCTCCCACTCTCTAATCACAAGCTGGTGTAACTTTTCAGGAAATTACAGTTTTGTTACATACAATCTTTGTGCATCTTAAACTCTACTTAACAATAACCAAGTGAGAAAAGAACTAAAACATTTTGGTGTAATATCCAGATGACTGGATGAGCTAGAACAACACACAATGAACACTGCAAAGTATCATCCAATTCCTCATAAAAAAGCCGTGATTTTTCTCTCCTGAACACCAAGAGCTGCCAACTCAACTCCTTAATAAATCAAAATTAATAGCACTACTGTTATTATATTTTGATATAATTCACATAGTGTGGAAAAAAAACAACTCTCCCAGACAAAGGAATTACAGCAAGTGACATTTTTGCTGGTATACATGAGACTTTTTTGTGCAGCTACACCACCTACATCTGCCCCTCATAGGTCCACATTGTTTTGGCTGTCTAGGAACAGAAACTTACTTTCAGGATGAGCTCACTATCTAACACCATGCCGTCAGACCAACACACGTGCAGGCTGGCATTAACAGCCCACTTACTGAGACAACAGGTGGTCCTCACACCCACCTGAGCCACTAAACTGAGCTGCAAGTTATGTGCAAAGGCATCCCTAGAGAATATTGACATTAGGGCATGCCAGAAGTTGATTCCAACAATCAATCCATGTGAACTAAGAAAATATCAATCCATTTTTACCTAGCATATCTGACCTGGCTTCCCTACTGTATACACAAAGCACTGCAACCCCAAATACTAAATTTCACAAATGGCATACAAATGCTTCATGGCATTTATATTTTACTGCAGAAAATAACATTAAAAAAATAAAAATCAGAGGGAGCCTTGGCTTAGGAAAGCAATGCAGAAATCGTATTTGTTCCCTGACAAGAACTTAGCTGAAGGTGCTTAGAATTGATACTTATCTACAAACTCACTTTGGTAGCAACTTACTATGAAAAGCTTTTTCCCTGGGTTTTCCTACTTGCTTAGGCAAACTGGAACAGTAAACTGTAGCTATGATTGCCCTGGGTTTTGTTAGGCTCCTTTGCCTTCCCTCCAAATGCATGAACTGAGAGGATTATCCTCCACTTCCACTTTTTAATAGCTTTGTAAGTGCAGAAAGGAAATCCCTAAAAAAGGGATTTGTAGACAAACAGAGCCAAAAACAGGTAGGAATAGCAGTCTCTAGCAATCTCAGACTCATGGGAAAATCAGCAGTACACTTCAGCCGGCTGACAAATGTTGTTTAAGTAGCCTAATTGTGAAGTAAGGGAACACAGATGAGGGCATAGAAATGTGAAGTAATCTCTCACCATTATAATCTCTCACTTTACAGATCCAACATAACTTCTCAAAAAATTCTTACGTGGCTTTCAAGTGCAATGGGTATCGGGTTTTCCTTCCCCTGGTTTTACAAACATCAAATGTTATCCACTACATGTTTAGGCAGATAACCTGAACCTGATGGAAGGTGAAAGCCACAAAGCTTGAGTTTTACAGAGACACATGCACAACACACACATCCCTTTCAGTAGAGGTGTGTGCATGCTACCAACAGGAACTAAACTGAAATGAGTAAGGTAACTCTCCTATCATAGTCCAAAGAGAACAAAACACAGACTAGTCTCTTGTAATCTTAATCTCTTGTATTGTTAGAGAAGTTTGTCCGAGTTTGTTTCATCCTTCCAAAGGCTGCTATAGTTAAAAACTCATCAAGCCTGGGGGGAAAAAAAGTCTCCCTCCTAACAAAAACTCGGTCAGCAGGAAGGTAGAAACCAGATGCCAGTCTCTAACTTCGGCCGGTTACCTTGAAGTAATTTTAAAACTCTCACTTTTAGGCACCCAAGACTGACAAAGATTGCACAGCTCAGCTGTCTGTCCAAACCCTGGCTCAGCAAAGAAACATTTAGAAAGTACCTGAAAGGGCCAGGGACTGCACTTCTTGCTTTATTTTTTTTTTTTTTTCCTTGGGAAAGAGCAACCTAGGGACGGGGAGCTTTAGGACAACACCCGATTAAGGGAACAACAGCACCAAACTCCTCAAGTTTTGTCTCAGAAAAAAAATTCCCTTCTTGAGATGAACTTGGTCGTGTCTCCTATGTCCCTCGGTAGAGAGACCCTCCAGCTCATTAACCTTGGCTCCACAGCGGCGCCAGACGCATTTCTAAACCCACCCTCCCGGCCAGACCCAGGTTCCGCTGCCTCCATCTTCCCTCCTCCAGCTCGGTGCAGTGAGCCTGTCCCGGAGGCTGTGCCGAGGCTGTCGCGGCCGGCCCCGCACCCCGCAGGGCTGAATGCCGGCTCCTGCCCCCTGGCACAGGCCCTGTCCCTCCGCCCCTCCACTCCTGTGTGCCCCCGGCCCGGCCCCGCGCTTCCGCCGTCCCGCTCTAAGCCCCGCTCCCGGCGCTGCGGCCACAGCGCACTGACAGCCTCTACCTTCTCCCCGGCTTCCGCCATGGCGTGGCCAGGCAGCTGTCATGTGAGGGGCAGGAAGCCGGCGGTGCGGAGCACTCTGGGAAATGTATTTTCGGCGGGAAGGGATGGTTTCCTTTTCTTTCTTCTTTTTTTTTTTCTTTTTATTTTTTTTTAAATTTAATTTAATTTTGGGGGGGTTTTTTGTTGTTGTTTTTTGGGGTTTTTTGTTGTTTGTTTTGTTTTGTTTCCCCTCCTCCTTTCTTCCTTCCTCAGCCCAGCTTAGGTGTGGTGGCAATGCCGTACAAAACTGAGGGCAGATGCAAGGCTGGGCCCAACGGGGAGCAGAACCCAGCCAAGTTGCCTTTCTGCCCTCCTTAGCTGCGAGACGCTTTTTAAAGCTGAAATCCATCGATTCCCTCAGGGAGACCAGCACGATGTCCCAGCTCCATGGTATGCTCAGCTGTGATGAGACTGAATATAGGCGCTGCAGTTCTTGATGAGCTGGCCCCTGATGAGTGAGGGTTCGGGTGTAGCTGAAGCCAAGAGCCATTTCCAGCCCCCCTAATGCCAATGTTGTGTAGAGCACTGCCAGTGCTCCTGGGCCAGGCCCTTTTATTATCATCCACCTGAGCAGCACCTGGTCGGGCACAGCTCCGGTTGCCATTAGATGTTCCATCTGCCATAAGATCTGACATGTAGCAGCTTCTGTCCCCTTCGTACATTTTACTTAATCATCAGTATGGAAATGGCCCACACTAGTGTCAGGAGAAGGATTTCAGAAAGCCTAAATGCATTCTACAATTCTAGAAGCTACTGCATTTTGATTTTTAAAAGCAAAAATAAGACTTGGATGTCTTGTACAAATATGGCTTTCTTTATGTGTTAAAAACATAATCAAAGCTAAAAAGCAATAGGCAGAACTTTTTACAGTTCAGGTTTTGCCTTTGGAGCAATTTAAAATCTGAGGTGGAGCTACAGTGTTAAGTGTCCATGTAGTGCAGATCACCTTCAGCAATAAAAGACAAATCTTATAATACCACACTGCAAAACCTTAAGGCCATAAAGTTAATTGCAAGAGAGTATCACCTTGACTATGAAAATAATTGTATATCATTGCCATAACTTTAGAAACTAATTGTCAGAATTCTGACTCAGAAGAGCTAGAACTGTCCTTAAAAATCACACTGAAACTGGTATACAGGGTTGAGAGAAATCTATCAAAGTTACCAGTTTCAGAGCAAGAACATATGAAAATAGCTATCCTGAATACATTTAATTTGCAAATGATAAAAATAAGTATCTTTTTTATGGTTTGTTATGGACTATCAAGTTGCCATGGCAAAGAAGTGTGTAAATATTGTCCAAGCCATATAAGTCATGGGATGTCTACAGAGAAAGAGATGTTTGGCTGCCATTGTACAAAATATTGTTGAGACCACGCCTGGATATAATTGTAAATTTGGAGTCACTTTTGTTACAAAAAAATTGATTGAAACTGGAAGGGACCAAAGGACCACTTTTAGGGTCTGATCTGTTGGAGAAGACTGATAAAAAGAAGGGCTTAGCAACTCCATTCTAGCAATAAAGGAGATCTGAAGAGGAAGAAGAACTATTAAAGGTATGAGATCAAATCAGTATCAGCTATTTTCCGTGCATTTATGCTTGAAATGAGAAGTAGATTCCCATGTGTCAGACATGCATAGTCCTCAGAAGGACCTTGCTGGCAAGAAATTTAAATGATTTCAAGGTGAAACTTAATAAACTTAAATAAGAGACTGTAAGAAGTGTTTGCTGACAGCTGTGTGGCTTACCCAGAATGCTGCTCATTACAGGCCCATTCAGTCCCTTTTGAATCTTAGTTCTGTTCAGATCAATGAAAAAATATATCATTGCTGTCAATGGAGACAGGATTTGTCCTTTAATATGTAATGCACAAGCTATATTTTACACAGTTACTTGAAACTCTATATATCTTGTAAAAGGAAATTTTGCCAGTGAAGTTTTTTCCCTATTTTCAGGAGGAAAAAAAACCCCAAAACCTCAATAGGGGTTTTGGGCTATAGGTTTGGACTACAGGGTATGTTTTCTTATTTTCTCCAC